TAAGTAGACCAGCATGAACCAGTCCAACATTGCACAAAACTCGTTGGTCATTGTCGCTTGAAAGGTCGTCGGGGCGTTTGTGAGGCCACAAGGCATGACCACCTACTCAAAATGTACGTACCACGTTTTGAACGCGGATTTGTAGCGATCATTCGGCCAGATCGAAATCTGATGATATCCTGACTTCAAATCCAACTTAGAAAAATATTTTGCGTCACCCAATCACTCAAGAAGATCGTCGATACGAGGAAGAGGCCCTGCATTCTTGACGGTTTGCACGTTGAGCTTGCAGTAGTCGATGCACAATCGTAAATCCTTATTCTTCTTCCGTATGAAGAGAACTGGCGCTCCATATGGGGAGTTACTAGGGTGGATCCAGCCCTTGTCCAACAAGTCGTTGAGTTGTACTCCTCCTCGCTCATGCGATATGTGCAACCTTTCGGCGGCACGTCACCAGCCTCAAGAATGATCTCGTGAGAGATCGGTCGATCCGGCACCACACCGGTAGGTGACTTGAAGATGTCGGCGAAGTCGTCAAGCAACCGCATCACACGGGTGTTCGAAGACATGTCCGTGGGTGAAGAGTCGGCTACCGCGACGGTCCGTAGGAAACATAGGCCTATCTCGTCGGGCTGCTCGTAAGCGGAAGTAGCCCGGAACGAGTTGGCCGTCACCACTTGGCATCCGATCGAAGGGTGCGGAAGAGGAATAGTACACGGCACTTCGGCACCGAAAGCGTCACGGACGGTTAGAGTCCGCCGGTGGAAGTTGACCGTGTGATCCTCACTTGCAAGCCAAGGCATTTCCAAAATAACGTCGAAGTCCGTGTCCAAAATGTCGATCGTCACTGGTTCGCATACATGAGGTGTGAAATACACCGGTACGGCCTCGATGTAGCGCTCGATAAGTTGCTGCGTCCTTCCGTCCGCCAATTTGATCACCGTCGGGTTTACCTTCCTTCGAACTTGTGTGTCAAGGCCAACCCTTTGCATAAAGGCTTAGCTCATGAAATTGCGAGACACGTCGCTATCCAGCAAAGCGCTGCAGGACGCTTGCCCAACTTGGATGCGGACATAGAGGAGCGGTGTGTTGTTGTCATCGTACCGCTGCTTGCAAAAATCGCGGGCCACCTTGGTGACATACGCAAGGATGTTCCCCACCGTGACTTCGCCATCCGTCGGTGAAGTTGGTGGTGCATAGAAGGATAAGTACGTGTGAAGATGAGCGCATAATGTTGCGCATTGCGGTCCTGGCAAGCGGCCTGTGGTCGGGAGAGGAAGCCATGCGAAATCCTCAGACGTGAGCGGGTCCAATACCTTTATGTTGAACTCGCGTGCCGAATCCCGTGAAGAACCACTTGAAGACGATAAGTTACCGCTGTCGGACGGAGAAGATGTCGCACACACATCTTGTCCTTGAGCATAAGTACCCAGTTTAGGAACGAGTCGAGCAGCATAGACCTCATAAGAATATAGAAGATGAGGACTATAGACTTCCGCGTGTCCCTCCGAACGAAGGGCGGTCACCCGCGAAGCGACCGGTTCCGAAGGCGTCGAGAGTGTCGTCGACTCACTCCAACAGAAAAATTGTGGGCATTTTTTTGGGCGGTTTATCAAATGTGGGCACCCCTTTTAAACTGTTGGTTTCGTGTTAATAAACAGTTTGGCGGGGGTAGTGTCATGTGTTCCACCAAAAGCGAAGGAACTCAACGTTGATAACATATGTCATAAACATGCGACACTGTGTTCAACACTTGTTCAATTGTTGAAAAGTTGTTGAAAAATTGTTGAAAAGTTGTTTACGAGTTGTTGAAATGTTGTTGAAAATGTAATGATCAACTGTTGAACATTTCAGATATTGTTGGGAATATTTGAAATTTGTCAGAAAACTGGCTTGGTTGCTATTTATCACCTTCGGGGGGGGTTCTTTTGAGAGAGAAAAAAAAAAAAAAAAAAAAAAAAAAAAGTCATCTTCCCTCCCAAACTGATGATGTCAGAAAATTGGGCCTATTGCTATTTATCACCTTCGGGGGTCTGTGTAGCTCCTGTGAACCTTGAATGCAGCGCCATAGGCAAATGTCCGATGGATGTGAACGAAATTCACACGCGCGTTGGCTACCGGGTGCCAATTTCCAGCATCATTTCCATGCACGACAAGAACATGGCACGTAGTAGTCAACCAGTTATGTACTTCTCGCCCAGCATTAAGATGAACATGTTTTCTAGTGTCTGCCCAATACTGCTTTGTGACATCATATTCAACATTTTTGGAAGTATGTAATGCGTTTTCTGCAAACGGCCCAAACGATTCATGTTCTTGCAAAATCATACGTTGACATATTTTGGCCCACATTACACATGACGCACTGTGTATCCTTGCAAGAGAAGCAACAATGTGTACAATAAATTGATAGTGAGTAATGTGAGATGCGAAACGCAAATGCTACTTGATGGTCGAAACAAATCCACGACAGGTCTTGTACAAAACCATTTATTAAATAACACATGTTTGCTTATTGTACACTCAGTCCAAAGGGTTCGTAAGAGTCTTTTTTTTTCAAATAATAACTAACTCTCTCTCTCTCTCTCTCTCTCTCTCTCTCTCTCTCTCTCTCTTTCTCTCTCTCTCTCTCATTTTACATTTTGGTCCTCATTGGCTGTGTGTCATGCCACTGACTGTCAGTGGAGGTGCAACTCATGTCCCCTCCAACACCATCGCCCACCTCTCTCCCTACCCTGGCCTTGTTCCACCCCCAACCCCCCTCGATCCACTTCCGGACCCCGTCTTCTCCTTTTCACGGCCTTGCGCACAAAATTTCTTCATCTCTCTCTCTGCCCGCACATTTGTCCACGGTGTGCGCAATGAACTCAAGGTCAAAATCACCATTTGTTGTAGTCATGTTATTGGCGTCTCCCCTCTGCACAGCAGGCAACCCAACTCTGTACAATGTGACGGCCTTGTCTGCAACAGAAACAGCACGGTCGAGCTTGAAGATAGAAAAGCTTAAGACCGTGTCTCGGGAGCGGACCGATGCAGCGATCTCTTTCTTGATAGCTGCANGAAACAGCACGGTCGAGCTTGAAGATAGAAAAGCTTAAGACCGTGTCTCGGGAGCGGACCGATGCAGCGATCTCTTTCTTGATAGCTGCAAGTTTCTGTATTTGGTTCGCTGCTTTACTAGTCTCTGTCATCTGCTCGACTTCACTTTTCAGTACCAGCTCCGCAAATGCTAGTTGCTGCAACGTTACGCCAAGGTTGATGTCATCTCTTCTCATTTGAAAAAATTTTGTCAGTGTTGTCTTGAAAGGAGTAGCGTCCCACAGATCATTGTCGCTCCTTCTCTATGTTGTGTTCCCCTTCATCTCTGCCCGCATCCTGTTGCGAGTCGGAAGCTGGTGATCCGTTTGAGCTGACCGGACCAGCGGCAGACCTTTTTCGGCCCAAAACCAATGCTTCAATTGCCATGATATCTCGCATCGGACCGTTGTCATAATCCGATTGCATTGCCCGATCACAACTCGGATTCCGTTCGCTGCCACGTGCAACCGTTGTCCTTCCTCCGCATGTTCTCCTATCAATTTGGCAGTTGTTTGCAGTGTCGTGAAAAAAATGTCCTCCGATGGGTACAGCGTCGCATCCTTTGCTGCAGAAAAAGCAAAGGTCTTCGCCACTGAACGAAACAGTCTGTCTTTCATTTTCTTTGTAAAACCGCCGGTTTATTGCTCTGTCGGTTCGTCAGCATTACCTCCACCTGTGCTGCTTCGCCTTTGCAAATTAGTGCAATCCGGGAAAAATATCAAAGAAGACCAACAGATTAATGATTTAGTAATAAGAAGACTCTCTGCGATATTGTGCGCCTGCCTTTTTTTCATCAGTTCCGCATTTTGCACTGTTTTCAGCAGATGTAATCTCTCTTTCTTCGTCTTCATTATTGCCTTCCTCTTCCTCTTCGCCCTCCTCGGATCTGTCTGTGTTGCCGCCGGTTCTATCTCCCTCCGGATTGCTCTCCTTTGCATTGACATCATGGTCAGCGTTACTGTCGTCACCTTCTCCTCGTTCTTGCATTCTCTCATGTTCAACTTCTTCTGACATTTCTTTGTCGGAATCTTCTTCTTTGCCTTCCTCCCGAGCGGTGGTTCGTAAATCGTATGACCCTCTCAGGTCGATTGCTTCAGGAGTCTTGTATTTTCTGTATATTATTCTCTTATTTGTCCTCTGTTGTTGCAGCTGTGCTTTTCTTCTCGTCTTTTCTTCTCTGGCGCTCTTGGGGGCTACCTCTCGCTGTCGCCGTGTCTCTTCCTCCGCAAGGGACTGGCAACAGGTGATTTGTTGTGTTCGACCAGTTTCCCCCTCTGCTTTTTCCGCGGCGGGACAGAGAGCACTGCTTCTGTCCTGCGGACTGTGTTCGTCTCTTGTCGCTTGAATTGGGGAATATCCCTTATGCTATGTCTTTGCTTGACTGTCTTCTTGTCTTCCTTTGCTGTCCTTTCCCCCTTCTCTCTCCTCCCTGTGGATTTCAAGGACTTGCACAGATCCTCGTACCTTGGCTTCGAAACTATTCTCTTCAGCCTTATGAAAAGCTTCTGACATGCACGAATTCACAAACACTCACATTCGACATGGAACGATTTTGGCACATGGAACGACCATTTGTCATCCGCGACCGTAGGCGAGATTTTCACACGCAGGGAGAGAGAGAGAGGGAGAGAGAGAGAGAGAGAGAGAGAGAGAGAGAGAGAGAGAGAGAGAGAGAGAGAGAGTCGAACGTTTTTTGCCGTTGTGACATGAAAGACGACATTTTTTTTCTATGATACATCACGCATTCATCCATTAAGTAACATGCACAAGTTGGCTACTGCGTGCTGATTGGCTTCTCTACGACATGTGAGTTTTGTATAATTGCAAGCGGTTGTCAACTTCGTGTTTCGATGTCGGGTTTCTATCATGCCCTTGTAATTACGAACTTCCACTCTGTGTTCCGTCTATAAGATCTCTGAAGACATTTTCTATGGCACACGCTGCTCCGGTGTTATATCATTTTACCATTGCAGCACACTGCGCAAAGCGTTGTACCATTGACTGACGAAATTTCTTGACCGTTCGTTTATTAACGTCCATCGGGCTAACAAGTTCTGTTATATATTTTGCGGTTATGTTCGTTCCCTTAGTTACGTTTGCTAGCTTTCGCATCAATTCAGCTGCCACGCAACAAACGTAAACACCACAGTCCGACGTATTGGTCTGTTGCGAACATTCCGCATATACTATGTTAGATCCAAGTAGATCTCTGCATGTCACCCACGACGTGTCCACAGTCTCGGGAGTCAACACCCCTGCTTTGTCTGCCTCGTTGAGGTATTCATACCACAAAAATGTGCGTAACACCTTCCATTCATTTCGGCCGCTCTGTTGAAAGGAATCCATGACAATCGCAACAGGTCGTTTCTGGCCATCATTGTCCTCCGTGACTGCCAAAAACCGACCGACATTCAGTAACAAGAGCAATTTCGAATGGTTTTTGTGATTCACAGGGATGAGAACAACAGTTGTCGTTCGCAGTTCATTGCTTATTCGACGCAGCTTTGCAGGTCTACTCTTGATGCGCTCCTGCCATCCTGCTTTCGCGATATAAACCTTCTGATTGACGAAGACTGCGGGATGCCAGAAAACTGTGCAAACATGAAGTGTCGTGTTGTCCTGTGCAGGGAAATGTTCTTCATAGACGGACTGTAAGTACATATCGATTACAGCGTCGTTCGCACCCATTCGCAATACGTCCCGTTTCGTTATCGCTATGGCATGTCTTCTTGATTTCCGCGTGAACAGGAACAAGTGTTCCTCGTCCACCTTTTCGGGCCTCTTTCCAGCCTCTGCAGCCATACCTCTCGACCGATTGCCACCTGCGATACTGAACAAAGGTTCATACACCATCTGAGGATATTGGACGTTATCTGTGGTCATCATCTGGTACATTTCCGCATACCACGGGTCCTCCAGTATCCTTTTCCATCACTTAACTGATCTCTCACTGCTCAATGGGAGCAACGGTTCAGTGACACTTGGTCCACATGACTGTTCGTCATTTCTTGCTGTTTCTAAACTGTCCTTCGCTTTTGAGTCCATGATACAACCCTTGCGATCTATCCCCTCATTGATTTTGTAAGATTCGCTCATCTGAACACCCCTCATTCTCCGTCATACAACAGATGTCACGGCTGATGGACAAAGGTTGCAGTGTCAGTCTAAATCGGCTTCTCCACAATTCCTGAAAACGCTTATGTTTTCGCTTGCTGTCTTGGCACTTCTTCCAGTGCAGAGTGTCGCTCTGGCGTTACCTCGACCTCAACATTTCCTGTCCACATGGCAGTCACATGGCCTTGAAGCACATCTTGTCAATTACTCGGCTTTAGTGTTAAGTCTTTCGACAATATGTGTGTGTGTGTGTGTGTGAGAGAGAGAGAGAGAGAGAGAGAGAGTACTGCGAGGCAAATGACGGTATCCTGTGATGTCATGACCTTTTATCGCACGCAAGTATAGACATAGGTTGGTTAGTGCGTGCCACCTGCCACTTCTTAAGTCCACGTTCACCATAAATGTGCACGCAGTAGTCAACTTTGAAGTTACCTTCGCCATACACACTGCTTTAATGCACCTTTCTCTACATTGCTGTATAAGATGACATAGAAGCTATGCAACGGTGTAACACAACCTTGTCGGTGCGAAAAAAAACAGTCTCACAACCGTGTTGTCCATCTTGCACGATCGTGTCGGTCTCAAATACAGTCTCTCCACTTGAAAAATCTACCGATGTTTGAACTCCATCTTTACAAAATAACTATTGTCGTTCAAACGCTTCTCTCTCTCTCTCTCTCTCTCTCTCTCTCTCTCTCTCTCTCTCTCTCTCTCTCTCTCTCTCTCTCTCTCTCTCTCTCTCTCATTTTCCACTTTGGTCCTCATTGGTTGTGTGTCATGCCAGTGACTATCAGTGGAGGTGCAACTCATGTCCCCTCCAACACCATCGTCCACCTCCCTCCCCACCCTGGCCTTGTTCCACCCCCAACCCCCCTCGATCCATTTCAGGACCCCTTCTTCTCCTTTTCACGGCCTTGCGCACAAACTTTCTTCGTCTCTCTCTCTGCCCACACATTTGTCCACAGGGTGCGCGATGAACTCAAGGTCAAAATCATCATCTGGTGTAGTCATGTTATTGGCGTCTCCCCTCTGCACAGCAGGCAACCCAGCTTTGTACAATCCGATGGCCTTGTCTACAACAGAAACAGCACGGTCGAGCTTGAAGATAGAAAAGCTTAAGACCGTGTCTCGGGAGCGGACCGATGCAGCGATCTCTTTCTTGATAGCTGCA